GATGGTAAAGCGTATGCCTACAGTGCGGGAGACCTGGGTTTGATCCCTGGGTCGGGAAGATCCCCTGGAGAAGGAAACAGCAACCCACTCCAGTATTCATGCCTGGTAAATCCCATGGACTGAGGAATCTTGGGGGCTACAGTCCATGGGGTCGCAAAGAGTCGGACACGGTTAAGCGACTTCACTTTCACTTTCCTGAGTCGGGAGCCCAACACTAGTGCCAGGGACTTCCCCAGAAGCTGGCCCATTTGAAAGTAGAACTGGAGCTTTCACACGAAGTGAGTCCAGTAGCTCTTGGGCAGAATAGACCACACAAGCCCCAGAAATTTGAGCTCAGGTGGTTTCTGTTTAGTCTGAAGACACAGGAATAAACTCCTTTTACCTTGTACATCCTTGTACATAAGGTTGTCTAATCTAATGCCAGCAAAGTTGGAAGCGCCACGAGAAGCCCAGGTTTCCATTTTATTGACAGAAACTGAGACCCACAGATGAGAAGAGAAGGAAGGGCTTACTGCTTGAGGGCAGATTGGAGCCGCAGCCTATGAAATTAAGCCACTTCCTCTGTGGGGACAGGCTGGAACAGAATGCAACTGCTGTGATTTTTTTTTTTCCAGAAGATGAGTCAGGAGCAGGGGATGAGGCTATTATGTGATAATTATCTCCAGCATGCCCCAGGGCTGCTTGGTGGGTGGGGGGAAGGGTTTAGGATGTGGTGAGTGTTCCTGGACCCTGGGTCATGGCTTCAAACCCCGAGGAATCCATCTCAGCATCCTCTTTCCCTGTCACAACCCAAACCAGCTCCCACCAGCCTAGGGGCATCTGTAGGCTCATCACAGGGAGTGGGGTGCATGAGTGGGGTGCATTTGGTGTTGATGAGTAAGAACTGCCGTCATCACTATCCTCAAATCTCAGAGACTATCTCTCTCACAACTTCCTGCCCAGATCAATTCCCTCAGTCAAATTCTCAATGAAAACTTGATCATAGTTCCAGCTTTATAGTCCAAGTGGTGGTTCGTCTGCTGCCCCGATGTTAAGAAGTCTTTCCTTCTGCTGAACCAAGGTCTATTTTCTTACAACTTCTCCCCACTTGTCCCCACTCTTGCCCTTACCCCCACAGAACACACCTGTTCCAGTTGCTCCTTGATGATTTTATAGTGCTATTATTGAGAAGTCCTGCCCTGTCACCTCCACCAGTTCTAGATTTGCCCTAACCTAGGAGGTTACAGATCTGGTCCCTGGGTGATCTGTCCCTAGAGCTGTTACTTAGATGATCTAAGTCACCTGTACTGGTCAACATTACTCTCCTGTGACCTGGCGAGCTGATGGTCAGGGCTGGGGGCCAGGACCCTAAAGGGAGAAAGCAGCAGGTCTGAAGTTACAGCGAATTCTTCCCGAGGAGAGTCCTCCCGAGCCCTCATGGGACTGACGGACTCCGGGGAGGGGAGTTCTATGTATGGGGCAGCCCAAAGCAGGGAGATGGATGTATATGTAGGAGGGTTTTGGGACCCCATCAAAATAAACCCAGTGGTTACCTCCTCCATGTGCTCAGCTTGAAGTTTCCTCTCTGAGATGTATGTTTCTGTCTTCAGAAAATCATCAAGGCAGTAGGATTATAGCTGTTTGCCTACACGTTTCTCTCCTCCACTGAGAGGTAAGCCCCATGAAGGCAAGGTCTGGGTCTCATTCTCTGTGGGTCGTTAGAGCCTGGCTCAGGGCCCAGGGCATAGTGGATGCTCAGTGAATGTGGTTGGAGAATGAATGGCTGGGATAAGAGCAGCTGATGCTCACAGCTTCCTGGCACGGCCTCAGGGATCAGCACGCAAGCCTCTCCACCTGCTCATGCCCCAGCTTCCCCACCCATCCGTAATCTCTCCCTCTCAAGCTGTCACATTTCAAAACCTGCCCTTCCTTCCAGACTTCCTTCCTTCTGCTGCCCTCCTTCCCTTCTCCATCCCACCTTCTTCTCTTATTCTTCCTTCCCACACTGTATAGTGGTTAGGAGCCTGATTTCAGAGGCACACAGTTGAGTTTAAATAAGGACTTTATCATTTGCCAGCTGTGTGACCTGAGGCAGGTGACTGACCCTTTCTGAACTTCAGTTTCCTGATGAAAATGGTGGTGATGATAATAGCTGCCTCCTTGGGTGGTGAGGATTAAATGAAATAATTCACACAGAATAAGTTGAAAAGTACTGGCACATATGAGGTACTCAGTAAATGTGCATGTTATTAATCATATTATTATCATTATATTTTCACAAGAAGTCCTGGCTGCCATTCCAGGGTTCTGATAATCAATGCAATTCTGAATCTTTCACTTATTGGCTATGTGACTATGGATAAATTAGTAGACCTTTCTGAAGTACAGATTTCCTTACCTGAAAAGTGCCAATAACAATACTTTCCTCGTAGGATTTTGGGGGGAGGATATAATTAAATAGGGTAATAGGGAAATGCATTACGTAAATCTGTAAATTCTGAGAGTGCAAGGAGACACCATTAATAAACACTCTATGACAAGCTTCAGCCAGTGGAGTGGTCTTCTTACTTATAAGGTACTTAGTACAGTTCTGGGTTCACAGTTATGAGATCTGTAGATAGGGTTTTATATCATCACCTCCTCCTTTCTCCCCCACCACTTTGGCCCTCTTCTCCCAATTCCTACACACATTGTTTTTCTTTTTGTTCCCTCTTCACCTCTTGCTTAAATTACTTCGTGGCGCCAAGAACCTGAGAACATTTTCAACTGTTTGACCCAACCTGTTACTATAGAGAAATTGAGGGTCAGTGAGAGAAGGGATTTCCCTGTTGCATGGGGGTCAGCATGTCATTTCCCCTGGTCAAGAGCCGTCAAATCCACAACCATTATGCTGGCATTTAAGGCACACCTACCACTCCCTCCCCTGCCAACCGAGCCTTCTGCTCCCCAGCTCACTTGCTCACCAGCTGGCCTAAGAAGGAGTTCCATTTAGAGAGAAGAGTCCGTGTGCAGAGGATTGCCTGCCAGCCGCAGCCCTAGCCCACCCCAGCTGTTTTTCCTCTTTCCCTTGGGTGACACCAAGACGTTGATGATGCTCTGCCCCCTGGATCTCTGCTCCAGCCTGGGGATGGAACACCAGTGGGACTGAACCCAGGAGTCTCTGCTAAAGCCAGCAACGTCTCCCAGACTCTGGACTCCACATAATTGGTTTTTAATGGGTTCCATTATGACCCTATCCTTACTGTGCATTGTGGGTGCCTGACCTTCACAGCTAAGTGATTAACTGAGGAGTTGCTGACCTCAGAAGCTGCTAACCTTGCTCTCATCAGTTGGCAGGGGCCCATCAACTCCAACCCAGTGTCCCAGACAGAGACAATCCCACATAGAATATCCTTAAAATTTCTGAGCCAGAAGATTATTGTAATTCAACAATGACAAAAAGGATCCAATTTCATTTGCTAATCAACTGATCAACTGGCAGGGACTACCTGAAGAACTATGCTGAGAATCCTGGGGCCACATCCAGGCTCTTGTAGGGAAGAGCTCTGGCATCAGCTAGTGATGTCTGTCAGGGACAGTCTGAAGGAGGATGAGAGAAGGAGAGGCCTGCAGGCCACAGACTTTAGATCCAAGATCTGAGATCTCAGTCTTTCACACACAGATTGCATAGTAGGCTTGGTCTATCTGCTCCCGGAGCAGGCTCCCAAGAAGCCAGAAGGACCCAGAAGATTGGGGAATTGAATTCAACCTACCAGTCAACTTATACATTAGGCATGATGGATCCAACCTTGATATTTTACAGGTGGAGAAATTGAGAGAGGAACGATCACCCAGCAAGTTAATAACGACCTGACATGGAGCCCTCCATCCCCAACTTTGGTCATAGAAGGATCCTTTCTCAGCAATTAAACTTAGCCAGATTTAAGGCTGATAGTATGCTAAATACTGAGGGAAGAGGGACCTCTAGGTGAGTCCCAAAATACAGATACTGAAGGAAGAAAAGCCAGTATCTCTCATCCAGGACCAAAGGGAGAAGCCACCGCAGCTCTTGAAACTGAAGGCTGGGGTAGCAAGGCCTGGTCATCAGAGAGCAGACCTTCCCAAGAGCCAGAAGGGCCCAGGATGCCAGTAAGGTCCCCAGTTGCCAGGCGCCAGTAAGAAAAGGAACTTCAAATATGATAAGGAAATTAAAATACCAGCCCTGAAAGTCAAAGAGTAAACAGGACTTGATTCATATAATTTACACAATACTGAACAATTGAAAATAGAAACATAGAAACATCTTTTAAAGACCTGTGAAAGTAGGATTCCTGCTTCTGCTGACTTTCTCATGACTGGAGCCCAGCTCCCAGCACAGAGTAGGTACAAAGTGATTATTAACTAAAAGACATATTTTCTGAGTGTTATGTTGACAAGGCCCCACATGAGATACTGTTGGGGCTGTGAATACTTGGTCTCATTAGTTCCTCACTGCAGGCCTGTGAGATGATCTGAATTATAATACCCATTTTACAGATGAGAAAAGTGGAGGCACCAAGGGCAAATTCTCTTGTTCACACTCATATTGCTCTTTTCACCTGGGCCAGAGCTGCACTCACCCTCAGCTCTCTGGAGTGGGAATTAGAAGAATGCAGCCCATGGGTGCCTCACTCTTCTCACCCAGCCCACAACCCCCAGCTCTGCCCAGACATGTTTCTGGATCCTTGTAATGTACATAGAGTGTGAGAAGATTTCAGACCTTCTACGCTTCCCTTTCTGCTCCCCCTCCTCCAGTCAGCCCCATAGGATGTGTAGGGGAGGCCTGGCCCCAGTTCAGGAAGGATTTGCTTGCTGGGTGGTCAGGGTAGGTTCTTACTGTCTCTGGGCCTCTGCATCCTTAGGAACATGAGGGAATAGCTCATGGACTGGGCAGCACCATGGTGCTAAGAAGCAGTGACCCAAGTTTCTTTCCACAGACACCTGCTTCCGAAGTTCCTCTCATGGGCCTGGTGCCCCGAGGCCCCCAGGCCCTGCCCACTCACCTGCCATGACAGGGCTGCCCGACTCCTTGCTTCCTCTGCTTGGTGGTGTGTGAGCCGTCAGGACAGTGTTTCTGAGCAGCCAACCAGACCCACGTTAACAAGGCAAGTGTTGGGACACTCCTAGGCAGGACAGTCAGAATTCAGAAGGAGGCGTGGCCCTGCTACTACAGCCATGACATCTATGAGACACCTAATCACCCAGTAATTGCCTTGGTTTGCACCTAGAATTTGTCCAGTGTGGGAGGGGCTCCAGCTAAGAGGCTTCCAAATGCAAAGTCGAGAGCCAGACTGTGAAAGAAACAATCCCACAAGCCTGGGAACAAGTTTTATGGTCTGCTGTTCTTACAAGAAAGCAGAGGCTCAGAGAGGGGGCCCTAAATGTACATGGCTACCAGTTGCAGAGCTGGAATGGGCCCAGGCCTCACAGCAATCAGTCCAGGGTGTTTTTCTACCCTTCTGGTTGAGGTGAGAAGGTTCTGGAAACCACAGTTCTCTCTTGTGTGGGCTCCAGAAGTGTCTACAGGAGCAGTGACCCACCACCCTCTCCCAGGGATGTGCCCCCACCACGCCACACCCTCCAGCACACTTGCACGTTCCCACCCGCAGAGGAGCTCAGCCTCCACAGAGGAGCCTTAGGTTCAGAGGAATAAACTTTAGATCCAGCTGGCCCAGGTTTGAAGGCCAGCTCCTGCCCCTGGTCACTCTGACCCTGCAGAGGTGATCCACTGAGTTTTAGCAACCTCTCTTTATCTGGTGACTAAGGAAATGAGAGGGGAAGCTCTGGAGCAGGGCCTGGGTGCTTAGGGAGCCTGGCTCACTGGTCCCCTGCTCTTTCAGTCTCCCATACTTTAGGAGTTGAACCATTCCCAAGCTTGTCTGGCCCTTCAGTGTTGGGATCTCTGAGCTCTGTAGTGCAGAGGTGGGAACATCATGCTGCCTGGGCTAAATCTACTCTGGGGATTGAAAGGAGACCCTTAGCCTGAGTTCTTGTGGGATCTTCTATCCTTTGGACTCCTTGCAGGGCCTCCCTGTAACAACCCAACTGCCTGGGGTGGTGTCAATCTAGGCGTTTGGGAGGAAGTGAATAATAAAGAGGGGAGAGGCCCTTTGGTTCAAAGCAAGGCTAATTCGCTGATTGTTGTGAGCTGGCTCCAGCCTGGAACTTAGAGACCTGAGAGCCACTGGTGCCCCATGACCTTGGATAAGACCTCTCCATCTGAGAATGCTGTCTTCCCACCCCGTGAACCAAAAAGGACTTGCCTAAAGTATTCTCAAAGGCATTTCCAGCTCAAAGTCTAAGGTTCTAGGGCCAGAAGACTCTAAACTTGTGTGGAATGAAATGGGGGGAAATTTATTTTCAGGTGAGCTGGGAGGGGAGTTTCTCTTTGTTGGGGAGTGCCTTGAGAGGAGGCCCTAGGGCCATCAGAAGCCGAGTGGGGTGGGCCAGGGAGGGAAATAGGAAGTGGGAGGGAGTAGACTCCCTGAGATGGGCATGGAGGGGCAGGCGGTGGTCTCTATACCATGCACCCTTGCTCCCCTCTTGCTCGTGTGATCATCATTTGGGAAAGTGTATAAAAATCCCAACGTGTTTGATGTGGTTGGTTTTCTTACAGAAAGTGGCCAAGTGGTTGCGTTCTGCCTGCTGGTTTGATGCAGGCCAAACATTTTTATGGGCTCTTGGCAGGCTCACACGCCTTTAATTACTGACATCTGGCACCTGGCTCCTTCCCTCATGCCCTGCAGCCTGCTGCCCTGGGGGCTGGGCAGACCTGGGCCCTCCGAAGCTGTTCCTCTGCCTATATAGGGTCAGACTCCTCCCTGCTAATGACAGTCTCACTCAGGGCCCTTTAATCTTTCATCTTGGGTTTGCTTGCCTGCACTGGGGCTTCTAAAAGATGACAGGGGCATTCCAAAATCGCCCCTTCAACAAACCCAAACAATTCATTGTCAGATTTAGGGGAACGCAGCCTGGCAGTGGAGCCCTGGGATGAGAGCCAGGAGACTGGGCTCTGTATCTCTGGGTCAAACTGGCTGTGTGGCCCACAGCAAGTCACTTACTGTCTCTGAGACTCTATCCTCATCCATGAAAAAAGTGTGTAAGCTGGATCTTATTGGTTCTAACATTCTCTGATTCTAAATGATCAGACTAGAGATGGCAGACAGGAGCCAAAGACTGAGAAAACTAAGGATACTCCAGTGTCCAGCATATAGTGGGTGTTTCACAAATTAAAATTTGTGTTATGGAATAAATATAACTAATAACTAATAACTAATTTAATTATTTTTCTTGCTGTAAAGAAAACTAATAGAAAATCCAAGCAACACAGAGGAAGAAGAAAGCATACATGCATATTGCCTCAAACACATGTAAAATAAATTTAGATAAATCCCATTGTCCAGAGAAGCTTGTTTGTTACCTGCCCTTTATGCTTAACCATATAAATGCTCATATGATGCTTTCTTTTCAAATCACAGACTGCACATACACTGTCATCAGCAGTGGTGTCTCTTGTGTGAGTTTACATAATTTAGTTAACCCTCCCCAAAGTGATGGGGATTTAGATTGTTTCCAGTATTTTTGTCCTTATAAAGAAACATAATACTATTTTTCCTGGTATTTGTGAGTGCCTCCTATTTCAGTCTCCTTGTCTGAAGACATTTTGAGGGCCTTGGAGTTCCCTGTCCTCTCACTTGCTCCCAGCACCAAGCCCTAGATCTGGTGAACAGGAGGTCCTGCTAAGTAGCCCTGTCCTTTTGGTGGTGGTAGTACAGAAAAACAGAGGCCTCTTGGTGGGCCTTGGAGAATGGGGAAGAACTTTCTCCAGGAAGCGAAGCATCTAGAAGACTAGGCAGGTCTCCTGCCCTTTGAGCAATAATGGATTATCCACATGCTTGAGACCAGCAAAATGTAAACACCAAAATCAATTTAAAAAATAATTAAAAATTAAAAAAATCAAACTGATCACCTTGGGAAAAATAATTTTGTTGGGTTTGTTTGATTTCAAATTTACTTGTGTTTTAGTTATAGGGATATTGGGAGGATATCATGGCTTTTCCAGGACTCAGGGCAACTATCTGGCCCTGCCTTGAAGAGTGGCAGAGGCACAGCTGAGAATCTGTGACTGTGGTCTGCAGACTAGCAGCATCAGTATCACCTGGGAGATGGTTAGAAATGCAGGCTCCTGGGCCCTACCCCAGAACCCCTGAACCAGAATCTGCATTGTGACAGGTGATTTGCATGCATCCTAAAATTGGAGGAACTCTGTTCAGACCTTCCCTGAATGAATAGAATTGGAGGAATCCTATTCAGACTCTATTCAGGGGCTTCCCTAGAGGCTCAATCAGTAACGAATCTGCCTGCAATGCGAGAGACCTAGGTTCGATCCCTGGGTTGGGAAGATCCCCTAGAGGAGAGCATGGCAACCCACCCCAGTATTCCTGCCTGGAGAATTCCCGTGGACAAAGGAGCCTGGCTGGCTATAATTCATGGGGTCACAAAGAGTCAGACATGACTCAGTGACTAAGCACAAACAGTTCAGACCAGTTATTCCCAAAAGAAGGTCCAGGGTTCCCAAGACTCCTTTGGCAAATCTGTGTGGTCAAAACTATTTTCATAATATTAAAACTTTTTGGGGCCTATTTCACTCTCATTGTCTCATGAGTATACAGTGTTTTCTAGAGGCTACATGATATTGCAAAAAATTGAATGCAAAAGCAGATATGAGAATAGAGCCTTCTATTTAAAGAGATTTGCAAAAAGAGTAAAACAATGATATTCTTACTATTTTTTGTTTTTGGAAATTTAATTATTTTTCATAAATACATGTTATTTGTCTTAAGATGCAATGAGCTTATTTGTTTTTAAGTGAGTTAATGAATAAACATTTTACAAGTTTCTCAGTGTTAATTTCCAACTTGGTAACTATCCAGAAATATAACCCACATAAACAAGTGCTCTTTGGAATTCTCAATAATTTTTAAGGGTATGAAGAGGTCCTGAGACCAAAATGTTGAAGAAATGCTGGACTAGAATATGGTTCCCCTCTAGGATTTCAGTTCTGTCCCTCAAGAGAAAAACCATAAACTGACAAATCAGAGAGGAGAGGCCTGAGGCCATGTGCTCAAGTACAGATGAGGCCATAGGACAGACGAGTCCAGGGGCAGCTGTGTTGAGCTTGGGGCCGCCCACAGAGCCCCCTGGTGCTGGGAATCCTCATTTGCAGAGCCCCGTGGATCCAGCAAATACAGACAGGTGCTGCTCATCGGTGAATCCAAAGGTCTGAGCAGTCAGCTGTAAATATGAGTCCCTGTGTGCTTAGGATAGAAGTTACCTCCACTGTCTTGGGAACTTGTCCTCATAGAATCATGGTGGGTCAGAGGGACCCACCAGGACTAGACCTGGACTGATCTGGTGACAAGCCATCCCTTCCCCTCTCTGGGCCTCTGCCAACCCAGGCTGTAAAATGGAAGATGACTCTTTCCCCTCCCACCCCTGGGTGAACTCACTGGACAACTAAGACTGTGAAGCTCTAACTCATCGCTGCATCACCTCATCCTGAAAGTGATAACCATGGTGATGTAGACAGAGTTCAGACTCTGAGAGGGAAGATTTTGCCCAGTAAGAAAGCAAGTTCCTCTTCTATCATCAGGAGACCTTGTTGCTGCCTGCTGTGTATGGACCAGCAGCTGCAGGGCAAGCCAGGAGGTTAGAGGTGGCCTCGTTTGGCTCTCAGTGTCTAGGTATTACCCTGTTCATCCATCAGTACTTCTGTCTAACGTCCCTGAAACCACTAGGTGGTGTTTCGGGGGCTCCAAGAAACTCCAGTCCTTTATGTTTCAGTGAGGAAAGAATTCAGCAAGAGGCAAAGAGTAATTTGGTAGAATAGGGCACTTGTGAGACTTACAAGTGGGCGGGTGAGAGGGTGCCTCATCCCCAAAACTTAGTGGGCTATAGTTTTATAATCAAAGGAAAAGTGGGGCAGGGGAAAAAACCACTTTCTTCCTGATCCTCGAGTCGATGTCATGCTTCTAACATCAGCTCCCCCTCCAGGTTAGGCAGAGGAGCTTTTTTGTCCCTACAT